CCAGCAGGGACACCCCGTACAGAGCACCGACTCAACCTGCGGCTGCCTCTGCTGCACCCCAGAGCAGGGTGCTTCCGACTGCAGCCTGGCCCAGCCCTTCTGAACTTGGGCACCTGGCTCCCCACTTCCCTGGCCCTTGCCACTGCTTCTAAACCCTTCCTAGGGCAGTTACCAAAGGCAGCTCAAAAAAGGCCTTAGCCCCTCTAGCCCACAGTCAGTTCAGGAGGCTACGGAAGGGGCAGTTTGCCTCCCCACCCCCTGCCCGCCCCGTGCCAAGGTGCACACTCAGCTTCTACATGCTGACTGCCTCCCTCACGTCTGGGCATCTCTCCAGGAGCAGGGCACTCTCTGGGGTTGAAACCACTGAGAGAGAGGCCCACGTGGAATTCCTGTCAGAATCGGCTGGAAGCTGCTGAGGAATCCTGGATGAGTTTGGGGCACCCCCATCCACTCCTCCCAGCTTCTCTTTCTGCACCCAAGAGCTGAGGGCACAGATAAGCAAGATCTAATAAGATAGCACAGCCCACCCAAAGTTCCCTTTGGATTTCATGATAAAGGCTGTCACAGTAGTATAGCAGGCTGAGCCTCTGCCTGTGGTTCTGGAATCCCGTACGGGTATCAGTTTGTACCCAGGCTGCTATACTTCCCATCTGGCTCCCTGAAGATGTGTCTGGCAAGGCAGCAGCGGAGAATGCTGTGAGAGTTTGGGCCCCTGCACCCACGTGGGAGACCCAAGAGAAGCTCCTGGATCCTGGCTTCAGACAGAATCAGCTCCAACCACCGCATGCATCTGGCATCTGGAGAGTGAACCAGCAGATAGGCGGCCTGTCTCTCCTTCCCTCTCTGTACTCTGTCTTTGAAATAAAATAAATCTTTAAAAATATTTCATATGCTTAAAGCATTGTATGAGTTTTGTGGCCTTTTTCATTTACTTATCGTGACTAAATTCGCACAAGGCGGTGTGCAGAGGTAAGCTTTACTGGGTGCTGCTTCTGCTGTGGAAATGCAGCCACCAGGAGATGCCAGCCAAGGCTATAAGGTAGCCTCATTCTAATAACCAGGTGCCCTTAGCATGAATCCGGTTACAAGGTGGATGAGCACATACTAGTTCTGTGGCTTTCTAGAGTAACATAGTAACATGAATATGCAAGTGCAGTTGCCGGAGAGTGAAAGGGCTGTGGCCTTGGCGTTAGACAAATGTGGACAAAAACCTGCCCTCCCTACGCCATGCCGTGTGGTCTCGAGTTCCCAGGTGGTAGCAAGCCTCAGACCCTAGATTTACAATAAAAAATACTAGTGGTTATAGATGACCCTGTTGCCCATGGCCACGTGTGTAAGTGTCTCCCTTGGTTTCCTTCTGCTTTGCTGTTACTAGAAGTAAGTACAGTTAAACGTTGCTGCAGACACACGGCCCCGCAACATCCAGCCCCGACCCCCGCAGCTTCTTACAATCTGTGAAAATCTGCCCTCCATAGCGTTTTCTTGGAAGTATGCAAGGCATGGTAGACCTTTGCTAGGTCAGCCTGTATTACCATGCCAGGCTGCTTGGAAGGTAGTCCAAGTTGCTTTGGTATGTGAGTGTGTGTGTGTGAGTCTGTGTGTGTGTGTGTGTGTGTGTGTGTGTGTGTGTGTGTGTGTGTATTTGGTTTTTGAGTACTGACTCAGGTTACAACTGTCTTTCCTTGGAAGGTTGGTCATGGTTTGCCAGCAAGAGGTTGAATTGGACCAAAGCCTGTCTCTCCAGCTCCCTCTGTTGCCCTCCACCTGCTCAGTGTCTAGGAGAAAGTAACTCTTCCTATATCATGTCAGTCTCACCACCCAGGAAGTGTGACCGACGGGCAAGCACGTGGCAGTTTCTTGCCTGCAACAGGGCATGCACACACGCCCTTCAGCGATGGTCTTTCTTCTTGCAGGTAGAAGCAGAAAAGATGGAGAGAAAAGCGTGCTGGACCCCTTTCTCCCTGTTTGTGCGAGCCTGCCTCCAACCTGGTGACCGCTGGGAAAGCCTTTTGTACCTTTTTAACATGTTACACTAGATTGGACTGATTAACTACCCAGAGCTTCCGCAGTGCCTCCCCTCAAGCTAGTTCTTAGAGGCTGTTTCCCCTGTTCAAAGGCCCTTAGTGTACTTTGAGCCACGAGTTACGTTACACGTAGAATCATGCAGCTTTACTAACATCTGAAACCTGCCTAGTGAACTAACCCAGCCTGTCTCTGGCCAAGTGAAAGCTTTGGAATTTCATGTCCTGTTCTTTGAAATTCTGTATGTTCAGACATCTGATGGTGATGCGACGCATTTAAGGATAGCCAGTAAGTAATCCTACGGCAGGAGAACCTCAGTGCATGAGCTGGCCGGTTTATTGAAGCAGATTGTGAGTGCTGCTCCTGGGAAGTGCGTGCGTGTGGTCTCCGTTAGGACACAGGCTCAGAGGAGTGTGGTCCAGCAGGCCCCAGTGTCCTGGAACCACGCGCGTGGCTGGGCCCTGGGAAGTGCGTGCGTGTGGTCTCCGTTAGGACACAGGCTCAGAGGAGTGCGGTCCAGCAGGCCCCAGTGTCCTGGAACCGCGCGCGTGGCTGGGCCCTGGGAAGTGCGTGCGTGTGGTCTCCGTTAGGACACAGGCTCGGAGGAGTGCGCTCCAGCAGGCCCCAGTGTCCTGGAACCGCGCGCGTGGCTGGGCAGAACAAGATGAGAAGCTGGGAGGAGCAGTGAAGACTGACGTGGCTCTGTAGGATTCATGGACGGCGAGTGGAGGACCGTGTCATCTCAACAAGAGAGTTAACTGAAGATGGCCAGGCCCTTAACCACAGGCCCGGGTTTGAGATATTCCTAACTACCGCCCTTCCGTTTTCTTGGATCCTTTCATTTGAGTCATAAATGAAAGCTTTTTATTGGAAGAGCTTGGGAAGAAGTAGGAAGTGAAAATTGACATGTTTGATCCTTTGTGAGACTAAAGTGCTTTCTTTCCCTGAGTCTCCCCCGAAAACAGCAACAAAAAAACCTACACTTAAATTTCTTGTTTCTTCAGAAGTCATTTTGTTCTTGTGAGACAAGTTTCCAGTTAGCAATGAGCTAGGCCAGTGGCTTGCCGTGAGGTCACTCTAGCTAAATGCCATGCCGTCTGTGGTCAGAACTCTGAGAACCGTGCGGAGCTGTGCTTGAGGCCTTAAGACACTGTGTGGGTTTGTATGAAGTCAGTTTACCAGTCGTCTTGAGTCTGAGGCTCAGCAGGTTGTTAGCTTCCTGGCTCAGTTATGGTCCCAGAAGAAACTCCTTTGCAAATTAGGTCACTTGTCATTGCACTAGAGTAATTAAAGCCGTGTACGAGTGTTCATCTGTCTGTGTGGCAGGTTTGGGGGGCTTCTTCCTGTATAATCTGTGTCTGAAATTACGCCAGCAATTAGAAAAGGAAAATTGGAAAGGAAACCCATGGCAACTGTGATGGTGCCAGAGAGGAAGAACGTTCTTGAGGAAACACCTCTTTTGGTGTCAAGTCTAAGCACGCGCGACTCCCTTCCAGCCTCCCCGTCTCCGCGTTGGGCTCCACGTTCACTTGGATCCAGGCGAGATCCAGGAGAGCTACGCTGCCCTGTTCCATGGGAACGTTGACTTATTTGATATCCACCTTTAGACTTCAACAGTACAACATCAGTCTGTGCTTTATAACTTTGTAATAGAACCACTGGCTTGAGTAATTTGGAGACAGGCGTAGGTCTGCCCTGATACAACTCCAACTTTTATTGTCATATTTTGATGAAGAATTGCTGCCTTCCCTAACATCATTCATTCATTCTTTCTCTCTCTCTCAACAGCTTTCATTCTAAGATGATTTTATTTTAAAGGGGGGATAATTTGTCCTGTATTTTAAAAAAAATGTGTTCAGACTTTTCATTGAGATTTTCCATTTTGATAAAAATAAACAGGACCTCTGACACAGTTTGTTGCTGGAGATTTGTCAATGGGAAGGAAAGTGACCCTGGAAATCTTCCCTCCTTATATACTTTACCCTTATATGCTTTACCTGGAGGAAACTGCAGACGGTTTGGGGGTCACTTACACCCCTCGAGCCCTTGCAAGGCCCTAGGCCCCTGTGGGTAGAGAAGCTGTGTAGGCTGCTCACCGAAGGGTAAACATAAAGGCTCAGTTTGCAGAACTAAAGGCAAACTGTTGATTGGTGTGTTCCGCTCATTTCATTCCACTGAGGACGGACTTCTTTCGGGTGTGAGGAAAGCAAGTAAAGGTAGGTTCTGAAATGGCATCTGTCCACCGAGAGCCGTTACCAGCAGCAGGGTGACCTCAGCACTTTAAGAACTTTTACTCGTTTTTACGGAGAGAATGTCGTGCTGCAGTGTTCGTGACGACCTGGTCCGTCACCGCCGTTTGACGCGCCCGAGCTGCTCACTGTTCCCTACGTACTGTAGGAGTGGAGCATTCCTTCCAGTATTCTTTGTTATTGCCAGAACTCATCTGGAATTATTATTAAAATAATGCCTGAAATTATTCCCAGAGGTTCCTACTCCCAATTTAAAATAAAAAATAACCGACAACGTTTCAGGTTAAGTGTTTGTTCTGTCTGGGGAGGCAGAAAAGCACTTGTCCAAATGCCCTTCTCTGTGTCCTGAGCTGTGCCACCCCTGCAGGTTCCCGGGCTCACTGGGCACAGTTGGAGTCCTCTCAGTGTCAATAATTCTGCTCATTTTTGTGAGTCCAAGCTCTCTTTGTGCAGCCTGAATAATAACACTATTTTGACATAATGGCATTTCACCCCTTCTTTGAAATGAGACACAGGAAATCATTCCGTGTAATCCATCAGGGGCATTACTGCTTCTCTAGGTCTGTATTTAAAATATATATATGTAAATGCAACCGTTGTTTATGGCTTGTGGCTTTATTGTACACACGTTCCTGGGATTTGCTGCAAAGGGGACTATCTTTGTATGTAGACCTATGCTTCATTCCCTAGTTAGAATTCACTGATTCATTACCCACACTTTCCTTCCAGGTCCCCCAGGCCCCCCAGGTGGTCTGCGGATAGAAGACGTCCGAGCCACGTCTGTGTCTCTTACTTGGAGCCGTGGCTCTGACAACCACAGTCCCATCTCCAAGTACACCATCCAGACCAGGACTCAGCTCTCTGATGACTGGAAAGATGCGAAGACAGGTGGGTGTCTGATTACCCTCTGTGTGCCTTCTTGAGGAAATCCTTCACCAAAAATGAGAGCCTGCAGGTCAGTCTCCTGCTGATTTCCTAAAAGTCATTTCGGTCTTAGTATTATTTTACTCCCCGTAGGTTAGGGTTTGTTTTGCTGTTGGATTTTTGCCTTCTTGATGATGTCACGTTCCCTTGCTTCCTCGTGTGTCTGAGCATTCTGTAGTTAACTATCAGCATCTTGTCCAGTAGAGGCCCCAGGGAGTCCCGTGGAAAGCACTTTCTTCCAGGTGGCTGAGATGACCCGAGCTGTGTCACTGGACCAGCTCAGCCAAGACCCTTTGCCCAAATAAGATGACTTACACATGTTCTTGGGTAGAGGACCCCCCTTTACCCTCCCCTCCTCCGTGACCTCTTTTCTACGGGAGCTAGAGGTGATTGTAAAGCATCCGCGAGAAAGACGATCCCTCTGTGGGGACCCTCTCGGAGTCTTGACAGGTGGCGGTGTTCCCCCCCACGCTCTGAAGAGCCCACCAAAATTCCACATTCGCTCTCCCATCGTGTGGGAGCAGGAACTCTGGGTGAGTGTGAGCAACAGTGGAGTGGAAAGAAAAGCAGAGGGATAATAAGGCTAAACTCATCCGAGCCCACAGGCTACTGACCCTTAGAGGGTGAACAGCAGCATAGCAGGGATGGTCGGAGCCACACACTGTCCAGAGTTAGCCCCCGGCCTGGACCTGGGGTGGTTCGTGCTTATTATGATTTATTATGCGTATAGTATCCTAGGAAGCTATATATTTACATTGCCAGAATCAAATTCCCTGGATAATGAGGTAATGAGTCATAAGCCTGAAGGAACAAATTCTGCACATAAGCAATACACAAGTATTTACATGCATATGTATGGGCGGGTTATTATTTATCACACGGAAATATTTAAAGAGAGCTAAAAGCATAGCCTTTGCTTGGTCGTATATTTTGTCCTATCTTGATGAAGTACGTGAGCTAGAATCCTATCCTACCTATAATTTATAGCCTCACATTAGTGTCTACTAGATGGATTCTGAGGAGTACTGAATTATTTTAACATTTATGATCACTGCTCCCAGGGAAGAGAATGTAATTCTATACCATCGAAAAGGGCTGGGCATCATCCCTTATGATCCAAGAGTAACTTGTTTTCTAGCCCCTGACGGCCACCGAGACAGTCCCTAAGATTTTTGTTCCAGCTGTACCTGCCTGCAGAAGTCCTCTAGGTTCTCCCAGGAGTCCTTGCTTCTCAAGGTGTGGTCCGTACGTGAGCAGTAAGGCGTGACCCAGGAGCTTGGCCGTGCAGGACTTCAGTCTTCCCAGTCCTAGATGTTCCATGCATGCTATTCCTTTATCTTCTCATCTGTTAGTGGCCTCTCCCCTTCTGCCCATAAACTCAACATTTTGTCACTCCTTGTTTTTATTTCAGCTGTATGTAGTATGTGCCATTCTCTCTGAAATAGTGAAGCAGAAAGAGAAGGCTATGTTAGGAGCAGTGGTGATACCACCAGGGACGCCCGGGTTTGATTTCAGGTCTGCTCCCCATTGCAGCTTCTTGATAAGATTCACACTGGGAGATCACAGCAACAACCCAGGAGGATGGATTCCCACAGCTCAAGTGGGAGGACCAGACTGAGCCCCTGGCGCTTGGCCCTGGCTCAGTCCCCTGCTATAGCATGTGGGGGTGAACCTATGGGGGAGAGTCATCTCATCTCTGTTTTAAAACAAGCGGTTAAAATTCTAAGAATGATTTAATGCTTTCCATTCAATGTTTGCCTTGTTTAGATCCCCCAATTATTGAAGGAAATATGGAGGCGGCCAAAGCAGTGGATTTAATTCCTTGGATGGAGTACGAATTCCGAGTAGTGGCAACGAACACCTTAGGAAGGGGAGAACCCAGTATACCGTCAAACAAAATCAAAACAGACGGTGCCGGTAAGTACAAGAGGTGTTTCACGTATCTCACAGGCTTGTGGGTAGCACAGAGTGGGGAATGGGTTTAAAAATGAGTCATTCTCTGAGGAAAAGGCTCTGTATGTCAGAAATGTGTATATCCTTTGTCCAAAATAGCCAGCAATCAGCAAGGGAAATATGAAGTTTAAGAATTCTCTTCGATTTTTCACATAGTATAGGAGAAGGAGTCAATAGAAAAACCGGGAGACCGTAGAAGTGCAGTGAGTGTTGGCAGTGTGAGCGAGTGGAAACTGATTCCTGCATCTCGGCCTCGGCAGGTGCACAGGTTCAGATGGAGAGGAGCAGGTCAGGGAGTGGAGAGCCTGTGACCGGGGCCTCTGCGGGCATGGATGGAGCACAAGTCTCGGCATCCCTGAGCCGTCACTGGCAGGCTCCCGCTCACGTGTTCCTTTGCCATTGCCTAACCGTGATCACTCCACTTGTGAAGGCTCCCAATACCAGCTGCCTTCTGACGGGCCTTGGGTCACAGTCACCCCATGCGTAACCCGGGCAGCATGTTGCTCAGAGGCCTTTCTTGTGTTATTCTCTATCAAACACAAATGTTTTTGTAGGCACTCTGAGTTTAGTTTGACTCTGCCTTGCCAAAATCAGTGCTTTGTTTGCAGGAAAGATTTCCAACCAATGACAGTGTGCTGTTAAAATTCTGCTGTGCTCTCTGCCTGTCCCTTACCCATACTTCTGACCGACTTATTTGCTTGACTTCTCCATGCGCTGTGAGTTCCAGTGCCTCTAAAGTGAAGTCATCCGTAGGACTTGAGTCACTAAGCTGTCTCTTGAAGTGTCATGTGGTTCATCTGATGAACTTCATTCTGAACTAAAGGAAGGAAATAGCAGTAAACTGTGTGTGAGCATGATCGCACTCGTTTTGATGACGACATTGCTCGCCCGTGTTCTTGATAGTATGTTGACGTCAGTGGTGCTCGCCTGGGCTTGCGCATCGACAGCAGAGACAGAGATGCAGCTGTTTGCGTCAGTCAGTGCATCACTGGTAGGAGGGACAGTTCAAAGCCAGATCCCTGACATCTCTGCTCACACCTGGAGCTCTCTTAGAGTGTGTCAGACGTCCGGGGAGGCGACCCTTTCTTCTGGCTCCAGTTGAAGCTCGGACTTCATCCTGCATTGTGAAAGTAGATGTGGCTCTGCGTGTGATGCTTCCTGCAGAGGTGTATCTACCCACATGCCAAACACGCGTGTCCCGCTCAGAGGAACTGCGTTAGAGCAGACACAGCCGCCACGTGGCCACCATCCCGGGGCTTAAACTGTAATGTTCTTCAGAGCCACCTGGGCTTCTGTGAGGGGCTTCAGTGTGATGGAATAAACAGTTTCCCTTTCCTGGAAAAAAAGAGAGTAAGGCAAGATCCCACTGGTGGTTCTGACCACATAATTTCTCAGTAAAAAATCTTGTACCTGATTGGATTTAGCAAGCATGCATTTTCAAAATAAAATTGCAGAAAAATACCAGTGCATTAAGTTGGCCTAAGAAAGCTTATTTCGGTGAAACCGTTAAGCATGCTTACCCTCAAATATAGACCTTCCTTTAATTTCCTTGAATAGGATTGATTTCCTGTGGTCTCCTGACTGCTGTGATATAAGCCATGTTTGTTTTTTCAACAGAGCAGCCATGTTCAAAGGAGATTGGCTCCCAGGAGGAAGGGCACTTCCTCTGGCCTAGTGACATGCGGACTTGCTGAGTCCCCAGAGCTCAGTTAAAGCCATGTCTTCATTATTTGTCTCGCAGCCTGATGTGTGCTGCTTAGGTTCGTCATTTGGGCTGAATTATCAAAACATCTGGCTCTGTTTACATCTCAAATGTGGCAGTTAAGTTTCCTATGTAAAAAAAGGAACTCTGTCTCAGAAGAGCTTCAACCCGATTCTGTCATCCACATCTGCACATATAATCTATATTTCCTGACGTGTCTGTAAGTGATGTGCTCATTTCTAGCGGTTGATATTTATGTAACCGAAGACTTTCTAGCCTCAGTGTCTTAGCTTTGTATGCCAAGCGGGGTGGGTGTTTGGTGCTACGGTTGATATGCTCGGGGCACTCACCCCTCAGAGCTCCTGGTTTTCATTCCTCGTTCCGCTCCTCTCCCAGCTTCCACTAATGCCCACCCTGGGAGGCAGTAGTGATGGCTCAGGTTCTCGGGAGACCCGGATGGAGTCCTTGACTGCTAGCTTCATTCTGATCTGGGGCTGTTACAGACACGTGGGCAATGAGCTACCACATGAGAACCTTCTGTCCCTTCCTGTTCTCATTGTCTCTCATTCTTCCTTACCCTTCCTCTCTGGTTTTCAAATACAGTCAATACATAAATAACAATTAAATGATGTTAAAAAAAATTGTCAGCGTGATATCAAACCTAGAATTGTCACAAGAATGTAATAGTAACTAATAAGATAAAAATACTCTAAAGAGACAGTTTCCTGTAGGTCTGTGCTTCTGCATACTGTTTTGTTTTCAGCATCTCAAACTCAGTGGGAGATCCTTGAAGAACAGGTCAACAGATCAATATTTACTATTTCATAATAAACATTATGAAAGTCTTAAATGTTTAGGCAAAAGCTGAATAGTAAAAGAAAATATCTCGAACTTTACATTAATTTTTTCCTGGGAAACTAGCTTTAAATGTATAAGGAAGACCATCCATTGTGTTTGTCTCCGTGCCATCCAGGGGCATGCCTCTCCCCAGGACTGCCAGGGCTGGTGAATGCTCAGCAGTGGCAGTTTACCACTGTGAACCAAGTGTTCGCTGGGCTCTGCCAGGCAGCTAGTGGAGGCCTTGTTCCCAGCACCCGAAGAAGGCATGACTGCTTCCTTGAGGAGAAGGCCCTGGGGTCTGGACCCTTCCTCAGGGAGGTATTAACAGCTCATGGATGGCACCTCAGACTGAGCCCAGCCCTTGCGTGGCAAGGCGCGTGTCTACCCTGGAAACAGCTGAGGAGCTGGCAGTGCCCTGCGTGCAGGCCCACACAGAGCCTCCCTCATCTGTAGGGACTGGTGGGCTGCTGTCCACCAAGATCCAGGTACAAGGGCAGAACTTGGGCACAAAGAGAAGAGGACCCTGCTTGGCAGTGAACAGGGAGTCTCTGGCTTCAGAAAGCGAGATTCGGCAGTATGGAGAAGGGGAACGAAAGGTTGCTAAAAAGGGAGCATGCTCTGAAGTACAAAAACAAGCTGACCAACAGTTCCTAGGGACAGCTCAGGGAAGGATGGGGAGGCTGGAGGTAAAGGGAGGGCTTGCTGACAGTTCTCATGACACAGGGTTGGCGATGGCCAGAGCCTGCCGGGTGTAGGAAGGTGGGGAGAGGTGGAGGAGGTGGTTGGGGGACAGAATTGTGCAGTGGCCATGTTAGATTTGTGCTGTCTGCAGCGCTCTGGGGAACCCTTGTTCACCGTTATGGCACACACACGACTTCGGGCATTGAATTGAGCATGAAGCAGAAAGCTGTCACGATGAGGATATGGTGGATGTTCTTCGAATTCCAAAGTGAAAATAGGGGCACACATTGTAGCGTTGTGGATTAAGCTTCCGCCTGCAGCAGTGGCACCCTGTCTGAGCATCAGGTGGAGTCCTGTCTACTCTGCCTCAGATCCAGCTAATTGCTAATGTTGCTGAGAAATCAGTGGAGGGTGGCCCAGGTGGGGTTCCAGGCTACTAGCTTCAGCCTGACCCAATCCTTCCTGGTCATTAGGATAATTTCGGGGTCAACCAGCAACACAGGGTGACCTCTGTCTCTCCCTCCTCCTTCTCCTCCTGTGTGTGTGTGTGTGTGAGAGAGACAGAGAGAGAGAGAGAGAAGGAGAGACTGTGTAGAGGTTCAGTCTGTGCTTGGAATGCTTGCTTTCCACATCAGAGTTCCTGGGTTCGAGCTCCAGGTTCCTGCCAGTGTAGACCCCGGAAGGCAGCAGTGATGGCCTGGGTGCAGCCCTGCCCCCACACGTGAGATCTGGACTGAGTTCCCCACTGCAGTCCCAGGATGGCCCAACCCCATCCATCGCAGGCAGGCATTTGGGTAATGAGCCATTGGTAGAAGACTCATTCTCTCACTCGCTGGAAACATTCATGGTTTCTGCTGAAAACCTTGCATCAGAAAATAAGCAGTAAGCCTCCACTTTCACGATTGGTTATGTTTCCTTTTTCAGCACCGAACGTGGCTCCTTCTGATGTTGGAGGTGGGGGAGGAAGCAACAGAGAGCTCACCATAACATGGGCGGTAAGTACTGGTGGGTGCACTCACTGGGTGCTGCTGTATCCACAGCTACTGTCAAGCCCACCGTGTTTTCTGAACCAAATGGAAAAACGAGTGAGAATGTCCAGTGCAAGCCAGAATAAATTGCTGATTTGTGTCCTTCCCTGGACTCCAGAGTTAAGCTGACTCACTGTCACTTAGTGTGCAGTTACCGTGCACGGATACCATCGGGAGGCTTAGGGCCTGGGTAGTCAGGAAGATTCAAGTTTCACCTCTGATTCCAGGGGTGTTTGAGCTCATCATGGTCTGAGAACTCAGCTGCATTTGTAACATTTGCTTCAGGTGTTCTAAACTCCAAAGATGCAACTTAGCATCTTTTTATCAACACCCATCCTAAACTGAAGGCGCAGTTTTGATGCTTAGTGTAATCTCACGGGAAAGGTTCACCTTCCAGTCACCCGAAGGACTTGGGACTGAGCATCCAACTGTTTTGTTAACCGTCCCTCGCCCGAGGGGGATCCCTGCAGCAGGATCTAAAGAGCAGGCTGCGTTCTCTGCGGCAAACACCTGAGCTGGGTTTCCTACGTGGGAGGGGACAGGAAGCTTGTGACATCAGCAGGGTGTCTGAATGAGACACGTAGCATTTATCCAGGCAATGCATTTCATTCAGATTCAATTCCCTATTAAGTACTTCTGGTATTTCATCACTACAGATATTTAAAGGGCCAAAGTTAGGCGCCAAAGGATTTTAAGAGCTATGAAAAAGTAGTAGGCTTTATTCTTGCCATGAATCGAATTGATTTGACTTCTCTTTGCTGTGCTAGTCATATTTTATACTTGGCATTTAAACCACATTTCAAAGCAAGACTTAGGAAAATTGTGTTTGCCAACCTGAATCACAAAGTATTTATTTCTAAGTCTTACTGTCTGTGAAATGTCCATCTTATTGTTTTCTGTTTGGCTCAGTTCTTGTAAACTTCCAGCATCTACATCAGGGAATGAACCGTGTCTGGAAATTCAAAACACCAAATAACCCAAAGCAAGTTTTCAGGAATGGGATTTGGGAATTACTGCACTTGAACCTTCGTAACTTGAAGATTCTGTTGCACTCTCAGTGAACTCAGTTGAAAACTATCAATGAGAAAAATGTTCATGAATACTACCCAGGAATCAGAAAATCTCGTTTTGTAGGAGCTTGAGAGCTTCCTTCAGGATTTCTCTAGTGTAGTGATGCAGGTGCAGTTGGGGCTCTCACGGTCCACACCACCAAGCCTGGGTTTGAATCCAGGCTCTGCTCTCATTCCAGCTTCCTGCTAAAGCAGGCCCTGGAAGGCAATGTGACAGAGCAAGTGCTACGGCATCTGCCTCCCTCGGTGGGGACCCAGACTGAGACCCCAGCTCCTGGCTTCGCCTGCCTCAGTTTGGCTGGTTCAGAAATTTGGGGAGTGAATCAACAGTTGAGATCTCTCTCTCTCTTTTTCACAATGCTTCACTTAGGTCTATACAAACAGCTGTGCCGTGTTAGATCTGGGTTTTTATCCCAGGACTTCTTGACTTTGGTTTTTGAATTAAAAGAAAAGAAAAATGGATACCTCTTTTGTGCCATTTCCTTAGTGGTTCTAGAGGTACTAGGACGAGTTGTAAGTCAGTATTTCCTTGTTACAGCTCACGTGTGCTTTTATCTTGAGCTGCTGGCCTGTGTTGTGGTTAGGAAGCTGCCCGAATGATGTAGGCGGAGTGCTGGCTTAGTGCTGGAGGCAGACAGGGACCTGAAGCCAACTCCAAGAAGCAGGTGCAATGCCACCCTCCTTTCCAAGCCATCTCTCTTTCCTTCTTTCTTGTGGTTTAATACCAAAGTACAGCTATTCTGGAAGTGTGTGTAACTCTTACCATTGCCATTCAGTTGTAAAGAGCTCTATTTTGTGACCAGTCACATACATGTTCCTGGAGAGAATGAGGAACGCATGGAGGAGACAGCCTCTGCTTTCACAGCACTGATGCTCTAGAGTCAAGAGAGATGGGGTGGGAGCAGGATGTGGGGAGCCATGGTGGAACCTGGAGATGACGAGAGTCAATGGCAGACATCATCAAGTGGGAGGGTCCTACATTATGTCACAGAGTCTCCCAAACAACAGTGCCCCAAACTGTGCTGCTCAAGGACAGGCAGAACACTCCTGGGTACCTGAGCTTGCCACATATGCCAGCATGTTTTGCTGTGGCATTTTCCACCTGCACCTGCACCCACTGACTTCAGCACCAAGTAGGCTTCTCAAAGAGGTATTCCAGCATGTAGTGTGTGTGACTTGCCTGGGGCTTTCCTTCCTGTCAACTGCATCACTAAATGCTGTGGGATATTTTATTTTTGCTGTAGCCTTTGTCAAGAGAATACCACTATGGCAACAATTTTGGTTACATAGTCGCGTTTAAGCCTTTTGATGGAGAGGAGTGGAAAAAGGTGACCGTCACAAATCCAGACACTGGACGCTACGTCCACAAAGATGAAAGCATGAGCCCTGCCACTGCGTTTCAAGTCAAAGTGAAGGCTTTCAACAGCAAAGGAGACGGACCCTACAGCCTCATCGCAGTCATTAACTCCGCACAGGACGGTAGGAGGCAGGACCTCGCGGCCATGAGCTGGGAGGGAAACTGGAGTTTGCTGGTAGGCACAGGGGCAGCCATCCTTCAGGATTTATCATCAAGATCCATCCCATGGTACTGTGTGTGTTTAGTAAATGGGTATTATTTTGAGTCACATTAAAATGTCAGTCTCCAGCTAAATGACGCAGATGTTGCCGAACCTTCTTCCTTCTTTATATTATGTTCATGGAGCCCAGGAAATCTTCAGTTCCTGACTGAGCCTTCTGATCCTGGCCCTTGGCTATTGCTGCAGTACTAGAAATTTTTTCACAATGGATTGGAACATCAGTATGCCAGTGTCTGCTTAAAGTCTGCTCCTTAAAAATTCTGTAACTTCAGCCTTATTTGTTAAATTGCCTGAAACTTTAGCCCATTAACTGCGTCTTTTTAAGAAAATCCTAGTAACATAGTGAAATTTCACCAAAGGGCTTACGGACATTTCTGTGATAACATGAGTCACAATTTTTCCTTGTGGAAGAATGCACCCTATGGAACACCAAGTAGAAATAATGCTGAAACTTGTCCTAAGTAACGAATGGCTGGAAGCACAGGTAGAGGTGTTACTACCTTCTCAGCTCACAAGGACTCATCTGTCCTCTGCAGGGAGGTGTCTCTATTGGCACACCCACTCCCTGTTCCTTTAAAAGAGACAATTAGCCATCCCTTGGAACGCCACAAAAATCTCTACAGCTACTCCTTAGGGATTGGCGTGGTGGTTGTCGTGTTTGTTACAGAGTATGCTTTCAGATCATCCAATGATCTTTACTTCCAACCCAACTTTACATTTTTGAATTTACACAGTTAACCCTCTGTTTCCACTGATTTTGTGTCTGTGGATTTAGTCCACTGAAATCCAAAAAGTTTTAAAATTTTGTATGCATTGAACATGGATCAATTTTTTCTTTCACTAACCCCTAAAGTATGATGGCTGCGCACATAGAATTTACATATATTAGGTGTATAAATAATCTAGAGATGGCTTAAGGTGTGTGGAAGGATGTACATGTATCGGTTTAAGTGAATGTTATTAAGCCTCTTTATCTGAGAGAATTGGGCTTCTGGGGCTAAGTCCTATGCAGGGGTCCTGAAACCACTGCCTCAGAGATAGTCAGGGGGTAAAAACCATGCATAGCCCTCCTTGTATGAGGCTCAATGCCTAAATACACAACACTGTGTCTCTCTCATTGTGTCGTACTGCACACCATAGATACACTCAGTAGAGTTTGTTCTAAACTTAAAAACATTGCAGATAGTCATATACATGCTTTCCAAAAGTAGTTAAAGACATTGAAAGAAGGGAACCGGGGCAGTTTAAGTTTATAATCCAATGATGAGAAAGTCCCAACTACAAATCTTACGTCCTGCATGCGTCTGCTTGTTCAGCAGGAGTATAACTTGGCTGAATTTTAATAATTTAAACTACATGAGTCTATCTCTCAGGGAAGATTAGGGTAATATTGAGCCAGTTTCCATGGCTTTATTTGATTCTAAAGTAAGCTTTCAGGCCAGGGGCTGTGATTGCCATCTCATTTATTCATGACCATTTTATTGAACTCTATTTCTTTCCTAAATTTTCCGTGAGTCTCATAAGGCTTCCATGGGCTAGAAGTTGTGTTAATCTTTTTTTGTTCTTTCTAGAAATCAATCCTAGGGCAGCCTGTTTACCTTGACTTGGAGAGGCAACACCATTTATGTACAACTTTTTTTTTAAGAAACATTAAATAGGATTATGGCTTTTAAATGAAAGACAATAAACATTGATCAGCCCTGCTTAAAGCTTTCCTTGGTCTCTTTGTGTAATTTCAGGACGGATGTAAATCATTTCTGCCTTTTTGATACATATTTGACTCGATGCCCAGTTGGGAGATTAGACATTCAGATGCTTTCCTGAGCCCAAGAACAATGAAAGTCACAACTTGTTTCAAAGGATTATTAAAAATGTTTTAAAAGATCTTAGCTTGTACGTGAAAGAGGGTAATTTTATTCATGTTGCTGCACACCATTAGTTCATGTACGCAGCAAGCAAGAGCTAACGAACTATAACACTTTGTATAATTAAAGCTGGATTCTGTACATTTGATATTGCACAGTTGGCGATATAGTACCTATTTTAATTTCCGCCCACAGCTTGGAAGAGCTAGGGTAGCCCTTGCTGTGGGTGACATGCAAGTCTGAATCTCTATGCTTTATCAGACACACATGATGTGTGTTCACCTTCATCAGCATTCGTGTGTGTGAAGGTTTGTGTGATCATTAACCACCAGCATCCATGGAATGAAAGCACCGTAGTAAAAATAGAGGGAGAAATAGTGAAATTAATGGACTTACTTGGCTTTGCAAACTTTACAGTGATTTTGAACATATGAAAATTTGATTCTGATTCACGCCTGTAACAGTAGTGCTATTTGCATTTCTTCCTGAAAATGTCTTGCTAAGAAAGCTGTGCCCTCATTGCACTGCAGCTCCCAGTGAGGCCCCGACGGAAGTAGGTGTGAAAGTCTTGTCATCTTCTGAGATATCTGTGCACTGGAAGCATGTTCTAGAAAAAATAGTGGAAAATTATCAGGTGAGTTCGGCTGTTATCAACTGAAAATGCATATGCATGAATGAATGGCCATCAATGTTCAAATATGTGATCTTTTGCTGTTCCGTGTGGCCTTGTGTTATGTGACAATGAACACTATTGTCTGTGTTTAACGTTTGTTATAAGTTAATTGTTAAGAGTAAAGCAGAGACTACTCACCGCTTACCCAGCGGAGACACCCTGTGTGCTACTGAACAGTTGACCAAAATTTGAAGTAAGGTAATAACACTAATGGTTAGCCAAGTTCTTCTGAAAAACAAACATTTTCATCCAATGCTGAACAGACTCAGTTTTGTGGAAAGCATTTTAGCAATTTGTGATTTAAGAGCATCCTTAGTATGGCCATTGCAATGGCCTCTAAAAGGAATTATTACAAATATACCAAGTATGTGTCTTCCCATGTTCTCTGTTCTGGGAGACCATAGGGCACACTCCCAATGTGCTGGAGCTGAGTGTGACCCTCAGGAGTCAGCCTGGAGGAGTGGGGAGCACTTATCTCCAAGGGCGCAAGAATTGGAATGCTGAAAATAGAAGGGCATGTGGCGGTTTACATTATGATAAAGTATAACAAACTTAGAATCATAGGGAAACTAAAATTATATATTTTAAGAACAAGAAGTGAAAATTCAGAAGAGTTGGCACTCACTTGTCAGGGAATATTTTTCAACTAGAGAAAACTCATCGTTTAAAGGAGAGAACTTAGAAGCCTGGTACAGAAGTTGAGAGCAGCAACAAATGCGCCAGCGGAAGGCAGGTTTTCAGAAGAGCTGGTGCTTCCCTAGTGGATGGCGCAGCTGTTTATGCTGAGTCCCTTGTCAGAAGTGAAGTGAGAGAACTGTCCTTCCTGCAGTTCTCGCTGGAAGGCATCCACGTGACGGTCTGCTTTGCACGGCAGTGATGCTCTTGTCGCTTCCCGGCTCGCCGAGTGTAATCAGTGCTTAGTAGAACGTAACGGCTGCACTTTTTGAAGAGGCTTCCCATTGCTCTGACAAAGAGTAAAACACTTAGCTCGCTGTCACTTGTATTAGCGACTTGACATGAACGTAAACATTTAGCTGTTCCTGGGTTTTGTTTGTGAGAGCTGTAATGGAGAGGAATGTAATTGCTTGAATCTGTGTGCGTTCTCAGCACACGGAACAGACCTGGTGCAAAGGGGTGTCAGAGAATATTCTTGTCAGGCATGAGTGGGTTCCGCATGTCCGTGATGCTGTGAATGTGGCCTTGGAAGCTGCTGCGCCTGCTCCCACAGAGCACACAGTGTGTTAAGGGTGCAAAGAGAAGCGGCAACGCAGTCATACAAGTCAGTGTGCGTGCCGGGTGCCGCAGAGAGGAGCATCTCGAATGTGTCACACGTCACCATTCTTACCGTCAAGTCGCTCAGAGAGAATGGCCGTCCACTTGGGGACAGTTCTGTAATTTCCTGGTTATACTTCTGTGAAATCCAAGTGATGCGTGAGATGCAGGGAGCCTTGAGGAAGTGCTTCTTACCTGGTCAGATCTGGGGTGCGTGGCACCACAGGTGCTCCCATCCGTCTGTTTCATCCTAGATCATAGCAAGTTTGAAAGCACATAGGTGGAAGCATAGAGGAAAGTCAACCATAAACATTATGGTGGCCAGTGCCTGCAAAGAGAAGCCGCTTTGGTGTTTGGAAGGCACACGTGCAGCAGCTCTTTGCTGTCTTGTTGCCTTCCTGTCAGTGGAAGACAGATCAGACAGTTAGGTTCTACTGGGAGAGGCTTTTGACACTTTGAATGATTTCTGCCTGTAGCCCTGGCCCTGATCTGGGGCCACTCAGGGGCCAGTCCTTGTAAGTGACCTTGCAGAATCCGCAGCTCATCCTGCACCGACAGTGACAGCCATCACCAAAGAACCTCCCACCGCCGGAGGCTGACCTTTAGCAACTGTCCCCCATCTTGGATGTTTGCAGATTCGCTACTGGGCCGCTCATGATAAGGAAGCAGCCGCGCACAGGGTCCAGGTCACCAGCCAGGAGTACTCGGCCAGGCTGGAGAACCTCCTGCCAGACACCCAGTACTTTGTGGAAGTTGGGGCTTGCAACAGTGCTGGCTGTGGGCCCTCCAGTGATGTGATTGAAACCTTCACCAGGAAAGCACGTGAGTTTCTGGGGTCACTTCCACGTTCATCCCAGGCTGCTTTAATTAAAGTCTCCATTATACTATCATATATATAATATATACATATGTTATATACTATATATTATATGTTAGTATTATAAATATAGAATTATATATTATAAGTAATATAATATATAATGTAACGTATTATATATCCTCTATGAGAATACATGTGCCTACATCCTTGATTAACTGTGGCTATTTATTTTGTACTTTACATAAAGCATATATCAGAGAGAACAAAATTATATTTGTCCTCTTAGGAATAGCTTATTTCATTAAGCATAATGGTATCTAGTTGGGACCATTTTGTTGCAAATGGTAAGATTTCATTCATTTTTATGGCTATGTAGTATTCCATAGAATAAATGTTCACTGGGCTGTTTCTCTGTCTTTGCTATGGTGAATTGTTCGGCTTGCATTGCAGTAAGCAGATTCCATTTCATCCACAAGTGGGAGAGCTGGGTGGTGTGGCAGCTCAGTTCCCCGTTGTCTGAGTGCTTAGCACACTGACTTGTGTAGTGGCTGCAGCAGCCTGCACGCCCGCCAGCAATGGAGAAGGGTGATGCTCCCCGCATCCCCACCAGCAGCTGTTGTTAGTTGTCTTCTGAGTGTTGGCCGTTCTCACCAGAGTTAGGCGGAACCTCTACATGCTGTTTTTTTGGTTTTTTGTTTGGTTGTTGGTTTGTTTTTGCATTTTCTTGAAAGCTAGGGAACCTGAGCATCTTTTATGTCTATTTGCCATTGAAGTTTATTTTGAAAACTGTCTGCTTCTTTGAGACACATTTTTTACCTCTATGGTCTGAGCAATTGTAGTCTTGATAGTCTGATTTTAGTCACATTTCCAAATGTGATTAGTTACTGTCCATAATGAAAAACATGAATAGTGTCTTTCTGTGTGTAATATTTGATAATAATAATATTTAAAATCAGAGATAGCCTTTCTGTAAAATGCTGTGGCGTTGTTGCTTGTCTCACTCGTCAGGGAACACATGACCAGCATGAGGACACCGAGTCCTGCTCGGTTTTTACGATTGATGAGCATTCATCGTCGCACAATGCAAATGTGGGTGAAATAAATGAACTCATTGTCCCCACTACTCTGTGCTCGCAGCGTTGTGCTGAGACTTTGTGCATTCTCCTCCCCGCAGCCTCATTCACTGTCCTGTCCTTGAATTGAAGTTAAAAAGTTGTGTGTGTGTGTGTGTGAGAGAGAGAGAGAGAGAGTGTGTGGATTTGTTAAAGAGGGTTTGCCGCCGGCCTCTGGGGATTTCTCGAGGCTCTGAGAATGCGGATTTCATTAGGGTTTGCAGGTGTACAAGGCGGGGAGGGGAGATGTCAGTTATTTGCAGTGGTTCAAAAACTCTGAGTAGAACAAACAGCAAAAGGTGAGTAATAGTGACTTGAAAATAGCTGTTTCAAGGAGTGTGGAAGAACTCCAAGGGAGCACAGAGAGCAGACGACAGGCTTAGTGAGCCACTGGTTGTGTTCAGTGACTGTGAGTAGGAAAGCTTAGTGCAGTGCTTGGCACGATCTTCAATGCTCTGGGTGGTGCTGCCAGCGCCATCGCTCGTGATGCAACGAAGCCTGAGTTGTATGCTGGCCGCAGTGCCCACTGACTGCACCTGCTGCCTCCCACAGCTCCCAGCCGGCCCCCGAGAATCATCAGCTCTGTGCGCTCTGGCTCCCGTTACATCATCACCTGGGACCACGTTGTCGCCCTGTCCAACGAATCTACGGTGACAGGATACAAGGTAGATGAGAGCTTCCCTTTTACCAACAGTGATTTATGTCTTTTCATTCCAGCTGTTTCTGCGTAAACCACTCTGCTTTCTCCTAATCTGCCAGAACAGAATCAGATGAAAAGGGGCCATGACACACTGAGAAAAATCTTCAGTGAATGTTAGGAGAATGTTATGTCAAATAAGAAAGACAGAGTAACTGATTTCAAAAACAGAATCAGGCCCAGCATTGTGGCATAGCAAGCCAAGCCTGTGCCTGTAACATTGGCATCTCATATGGGTTCAAGTCCAAATCCAGGCTGCTTCACTTCTGATCCTGCTCCCTGCTAATGTGCCTGGGGAAGCAATGGAGAATGCCCCGAATGGTTGGGCCCCTGCACCCACATGAAGACCTGGAAGAAACTCCAGGCTCTTGGCTTCAGCCTGGCCCAACCCTGGCCATTGCAGCCATTTGGGGAGTGAGCCAGTGGAATTCCCATTTAAAGTAATATTTAGAAGAATGGAATTGTTAGATAGGCAGTGAATGGTATTGCTCAATGCATGGCAAGTTTTGTGGTATGTTGAGTTACCACCCGAAAATGAACAAAACTGAGACCAGATGATTTCCATATATACTCTGTATAATGCACTATTTGTAATATACATTTTATATTACCTACTAAATTTTAGATAAAGTGTGAAAGAAATAAAATTAAAGAAAATGTATCTAGACTACTTGAATGTATTGAACGGATCTTCCTTTTATACCCTTTCCCCCTAAAAATTCACATTGCTTCCATCTGTTTGAGTAATTTCAAAAAACAAATAATTCAGATGCTTAAAGCATATTTTCTTAGATGATCTAAAAAATAACAAATAAATTTCTGTGAATTAAAAATACTGTGATTTTTTTCCCCACTGGCTTCAGATGTGTTAGTATTTGCCGATGAAAGTGTCAGTGTTTTGCTTCTGATTTTACTGTCAGGGCGCTGACCCACCCTTACACCTTCCTGACGTGTTCGTCTTCTCGGGCTGTCCCAGGTTCTCTACCGGCCTGACGGGCAGCATGATGGCAAGCTGTACTCCACCCATAGGCACTCCATTGAAGTTCCCGTCCCCAAGGGCGGGGAGTACGTGGTCGAGGTCCGAGCGCACAGCGATGGAGGAGACGGAGTTGTGTCTCAAGTCAAAATTTCAGGTAAGCCAGGGACCTCGACCGCACTTCGCTTCAGAAGCTGGACGTGGATTCTAAAGAGGAAAGGTAGGACAGACATTTGTACGCATCGCAATGTTCCCTCCTGGAGATTTGGAACACCCTGCATTCATGGAAAGGTGATCCTTTTTTTCCTGTAAGTCACAGAAGTAAACCTACAAGGTCTCACACATTTGTTGAGTCTTACCAACACATCAGAGTCTCTCACTGACTTCCACTAACAAAAGGAGCAGGTTCTAGGGATTCCATGATGGCTGATGGAAGCTCTTGTTAGTTACAGGATGGAAACATGATGTGTAAATATGTCAAATCACTACATTATATGCCTCTACTATATCGCATATTTATTTGCTCAGTACACGTTTGGGAATTTTAAAAATCGGGTTGTACGCTGGCCGCAGTGCCCACTGACTGCCCCCACAGCTCCCAACCTTGAGCATCATCACCCCCATGTGCCAACTTAAAATATTGTAAAGCATGAAAATGGTGCCTAACACTAGACCATCATTTAACAACATCCAGATGTCTGTTATATGAAAAGGAAACTTTAAATAAATAAAATAAAAATTAAAAAACGAAATCACTCAACTGTTTGTAGTACCGCTTGTCTAATGCTGCCTGTGCTGATGGAATAGCCAACCAGAAGCCTGTGGATTCTGTCGCCTTTCTCCTGTGGTTTGAAATCCGTTTTCTGAAAAGGGTAAATTTGGGATATTTACTAACTTTGCTCTATGTTTTTCACTCATAAATTTACACAGTTTCACCTTAAAAAAAACTTTTTTTTAACTCAGTGACTCATATATTTCCTGAAAATTAATAACCGTGCCTCCAGGGGCTGGCCGTTGGGGGAAGTGGCCTCGGCTGATGTTAGGGCCCATGGTTGGAATGTGGTGCTCTTTCTCGATAGTTTATGTCTGGAAGTCTCCGCCTGTATTTAGCACCGTCCCCCTTTTGTTTTCATCTGTAACTGACATTTTGCCTCAGTTACAGAATCCTTTTATTCACCTCAGTTACAACCTTAGCTGTACCACATTATGAAATGTCAGGCACTTGGGAAACAGGGACATTACAGAATTTTCTGAAATTTGAGTTTATTTGCAAATTGTTAATCGTTTCTAATGAGGAAAAGCATAAATGGGAGTTTCTGGACTTTTGGCAGGTTTAAGGACCCCTAATACTTTGCTTTGTGTTAGTACCCATGTGCAGATACTCAGCCAGCAATACAAAACATCGAGAGAATCCCATGCTTATGACCATTGTCCTGTTCTGTCTCTCTTTTCACACGGTTAATGCCCGCAGTTCAAAAGGCATGGTTTATGTACTGACGTTCACATGTTTCCACTTCACTCCCTGGTCTTGGTAAAATTCATCTCAAGATTCTTCTTAGGCCTTGAGTCTTGTTCTCTTGGTCTGTTATGAAATCAGATTATGTAACTCTCTTGTTAGAATGGCCTGGCACCCACCTTCTCTCCCATAGCCTGTGGTGTCCTGGACAGTCTAACGCCCCACCCCCAGCCCCAACACACACACACTCTTTCATCTCAGTTGAGTGAAGCCCACTGCTTCATCAGCCACCTGTGTGTCCTTGAACCCAGCAGGACGTTCCCACCTTGTAGTATCTTTCCTTGCTGTGCCCTCTACCTGGACCTCCCTGGATCTTGGCAGGGCAGGTTCATTCCTGTTTCTGCTTAGTACCTCCCTTCAGAAATGCTGTATTGAGCCACAAGTTTAAAGAGCTTCCTGCTCCAGGTAATTCTTAATCATATATCATATGCCTAAAACCATCTTGTTTATTCTTTTATGGCAAGCATCGTCACGGAGTTCATGAAAATGAATGTTATGAAAAGACTGCAAGGAGCTCACGGGAATGCACAGCCTGTTTTCCCAAGAACTTTGCAAAATGCCCTGGTTTGTTTGTTGTCTTGTCACCATCCTTGTTTGCACTTCAGCCACGTGCAGCAAGCTTTTATCCACCAAATTCACCTTTTCAGCCCTCAGTCCTGGGGCCATCTGACATGCCACAGGCTGTAACAAAGGGCGTAGAATTAATTTGTGATTTCTGCATTGAAGCAGTTTTGATAGCAACAATAATTTGGCATACTTGTAATTTAGAGCTCTGTACTGATCCACAGATCCGTTTTGTGCAAAGCTTGACACTTGCTATTGGACATGCCTTAGGACTGTTCTTAGCCGTGGTGATGTGTGAGTCTCATTGAGCTGTTGAGTGCTTGCAGGGAGCATCGAGACCGAGAGAAAACTGCAAATTCTTCGTCAGCACACGCTGCAGTCTCCAACGCGTTCTGTAACATCTGATAAAAAGTCTCTGGTTTCTGCACATCACTGTGAGCCAGGTTAAGAGAAAGTTTAAAAGCACACCATTGTATACTGCACGCACCTTTTAATTAAGCACATCTGGCTTTTTATATATTGGGCATCAGTTTTAGAATGTGCGTTAACAAGGACCCTTGGTCATGCCGATGTGAACAGCCACAGAGAAGCACGTGTTTGTGTATTTATGTGTGAGCAGAGTGACCACAGGCCTTGCATTTTCTGTGTAGTTCCTTGCAGACATCAGAGAGCCTGGCCAAGTTGAGGGAGAGCTGCCGTTTTCCAAAGGGAAGGATGTGGTCGTAGGAAACCTTTAAGGTAGCACTAGCTCAGTCAGACTTCCTGCTTGTAAGGTCATATTGGTGATTGCAGAAAGCATGTGTAATAGGAGGATAAGAAGGAAGGAGACACACTCAAGGCTGTTGTCGCAGAATGGTTGATAAATGATGATGCACCAGACCAGGAAAAATGGCAATAGTGTGATTTCCTAAGAATCCAAGGAAGTCCCAGTGGCGAGCATAACCAGTAAGATGTGGGTGGAGCGATGGTGTGAGGCCTCTCAGAAGTGATGTTCAGGCTGCCTTCGGAGGGTTAGGATGAGCTATGTAACAACAGCACACAGATGTGTCCCAGAGAGCGGGATGGCATGACAAGAAGCCAACTGCAGGACCTGGGAGTGGGTAAGGATGCCACCACGAGGCATGAGTTTGTAGAGAGGGCTGGCAGCTTACATCCCATGCTACTCCCCTGCCGACACAGCTGCCCCCCTGCCCTGTTGCAAAGACAGTGGCACTGAATTGGAAGGCACTCGTGTGTTCTAGCAGGTACTTGATGCACGCAGATGCTCACTCCCTCCTTAGACAGAATGCGTAGTATGTTTGGCTGCAGGTTGGGTCATGTCAGTGTCCCTCTGTCAGCAGTGACCTCTTCCCCTCCTGCCCACCCCATTACCCAGTCTGGCTCTGCTCCTGCTCAGAGAGAAGCACGAGTGTGTCTCCCTGCAGGACCTGGCCCCTGTTGTGTCTGCATCACCTCCGAAATGCAAATGGCAAAGGCATAGCTTCAGAATAGCACTGAACACCCATCTTCCATGGTGCTCTGGACCCAAGCTGCTTCCTGAATCCCGTCTGTGCTGTTACAGTGAGTCCCTGCCTTTCTTTGGAGTGTGCTCCACAGAGACCACAAATGAAGGGCATTCCATTTATGACAAATGAAGCAGGTCAGAAAAGAATTTTATAACTATAATAACTGGAATCACTACCAACTCTCAAATGCTGGTTTATAATACCCAGTCCTCTCTATCCTTGTTACAGTAACACAGATTAATTGTGGCTTGTGCCATTTTACTGTTGAAAACACTGAAATTCAGAGAGATTAAGTAACATTACCAGCATCATGTGGCTGGTAGAGTCAGGAGCCAAAATTCCACGGATTTAATTCTAACACCAAAGCATGTGCTCTAAAACTTTACATTATGTCCAGATGTGATTAGCTCCAGACGGTGATTTTTAAAAGATAGATTAGAAACCTGAAGCAGGGACGTGACATGATGTGACATTAAAGAAGAAAAAGCAAAGGCCCCCCAGAAGCAGCCACATCCTCGTGTGTCAGCCACACTGCAGGATTAGCAATGGTGCCCGCTGGGTGAGGCAGGCCTTTCATCAGCCTTCTCCAGGCCAGACTTTGCAAAGTGTGTGGGAAGGAATTTGCCATGGCCTCTGCCACTGTGCGAGCCTGCAGACTCTATGTGGTCCTTAGAGGAACAGAATCTTAACAACTCAGATTGCTGTATGTTAATTACCTTTTCAAGGAGAAAGTTGCTCTGACCCAGTTACACTAAAACATCTAAAGCACTGAACACACAGCCAAGTGAAAACTTTACCTATAGATGTCCCTCTAAAGTAACGGCCTCTGTCCTGCACCAAGGTTATGTTGGACCACAATCATTACGGAAAACCAGAAGGGTAGCACATAACACTTAACCATCCTCAACTACCCTGGCAGAACTTCTACAAGAAAAACAAAATATTGTCAAAGTTTAATGTGCAGTTGCTTTCTCTTGGTTAATTCTATTTGTTTTTTGACTCATATTGCAGAATCTAGCTCAGGCTGGATAACTAAGTTTTTCTCACAGTGTTGAATATCAGAATGTGAACGGCTTGTTGACATTTTTGCCTTCAGTAGTTTGGTGAGTGGTGGTTAGATGGGATGATTACTTGACGTGAATATACAAACAAGTAGGGATTTTAAAGGAAACTAATCCCGTACCTAGTTTTTTTTTTTTTTTCTCAGGAATTTTCCTTCTGGGATGTGCAATACAAAGGGAGATCGTGGTAGACCTGTAGAGCAGAGGGGGAAATCTAAGTGGGACTTAGTAACGGGGTGAAGAAATCTTGACCATTAAATCATTCAACAAAATGTTTTAAGCACCAATCGATGTTTGGTGTCACCTGTTATCTGGACACCTGAAGGTGAATATGAATGTGGTATCTGTTGTCAAGATGCCATCAACTTAAAGCTGCGAGATTGATCACAGCAGAAATTAGTGTGTGTTACAGAAGCAAGCACTGAGGAGAAAATAATGAAACCCATATATGATTGTTTCAAAGAATGACACTTTTAGTGAATCTTGGAGAGTTACTGAGAACTTTCTAGGC